ACTGTCGACAATTCTAAGTCCTGAAACAAAGTTCCGCAACCACAAACCATGAACAGTGGACTCAAAGCATGCCACAAATTCAGCCTCCATAGTGGAAGTAGCAATAACTGTTTGTTTACCGCTCTTCCAAGATACTGCTCCTTCAACCAATATGAACAGATAACCAGATGTTGACTTTCTACTATCGACACATCCAGCAAAGTCTAAATCTGAATATCCAATCACCTCAAGCTGATCGGATCTCCTAAATGTAAGCATGTGATCTTTGGTGCCTTGCAAGTACCTCAAAACTTTCTTTGCAGCTTTCCAGTGGTCCATTCCGGGATTACTTTGATATCGTCCCAGCATTCCAACAGCAAAACTAATATCGGGACGAGTACAAGTCTGAACATATCCCAAACATCCAACCACTGACGCATAGGGAATTCTTTCCATCTCCTTACGTTCCAATTCATTTTTAGGACATTGTAATAAACTGAACTTGTCCCCCTTCTGAATTTGAACCACACCTGGAGAGCATTTGTCCATATTAAATCTTTCTAAGATCTGATTGATGTAGTTCCTCTGAGACATACCCAAAATTCCTTGTGAACGGTTTCGAAATATTTCAATTCCAATCACATAGGATGCCTCACCCATATCTTTCATCTCAAAGTTCTTAGAAAGGAACTTCTTAACATCATGCATCATGGACATGTAATTCGCAACAAGCAAGATATCATCAACATGTAGGACTAAAATTACAAATCTGCTCCCATCGACCTTCATATAGATGCACCGATCAACGACATTCTCTATAGAACCATAAGAACAAATGGTATTATGAAACTTAAGATACCATTGTCGGGAAGCTTGTTTTAGTCCATATATTGACTCGTAGCATACACACAAGATTTTCCTTACCAGTGGTCAAAAATCCTTCTGGTTGATCCAAATACACTTCTTCCTCTAAGTCTCCGTTCAGAAAGGCGGTTTTCACGTCCATTTGGTGAAGCTCCAAATCAAAATGAGCCACCAAAGCCATGACAACCCTCAAGGAGCCCTTCTTTGAAACTGGAGAGAAGGTCTCCTTGTAATCAATGCCACGTTTCTGAGTAAATCCCTTAGCAACAAGTCTGGCCTTATATCTTTCGATGTTTCCATTAGAGTCACGTTTGGTCTTAAAGACCCACTTACATCCAACTCTTTTGGATCCATCAGGCAACATAACTAAATTCCAGACTTTATTGTCATACATGGATTTAAGCTCTTCATTCATGGCATCAATCCACTTATCTGAGTTTATACTATCCATAGCTTCCTTAAATGAGACTGGATCCTCACCAATGCTCAAGTCACACTCATGTTCAACAGAATATAGTAAATAGTCATCTGGAATAACAGATCGTTTTTCGCTAGATGACCTTCTTAACGCTATTCCTTCTGACGAATTATCATTTTCTTGAGTGATGACATGTTCATTTGAAGTGGTCACAACATGCTCATTAGTATCTTGTCCACCAGCTACACCTTCATTCTGATCATTAGTGATTGTGTCACTAACTATATACTCAGGTCGTTCGTTGGTGTTTGAGATACTATTGATATGTGGGAACATGACATTATCTTTTTGTTCTTGAATGACCACATTTCGTGGTTCACCACTCCCACTAACTTGACCGTTTTCAAATGCCTCGACTTTCAAGGAATTTAGTGAATGGACCTGGACATTGTCCATATTCATTGGATTTCCCATAATACTCACCACCTCTATCAGACCTCACAACCTTAACTTTCTTCTCTACCTGCCTTTCCACCTCATTGACAAACACCGCTAGGATGTCTGCCGACTGAGCCTTATCATGCAGCAGATAAATGTAGCCATAATGTGAGTAGTCATCTATAAAGGTGATAAAGTACTTTTATCCACCCCAAGAAGGAACATCAAAAGGACCACAAATATCGGTGTGTATAAGCTCTAACAACTGAGTGCTTCTTGTGGACGCCTTCTTTACTGTGTGTTTGGTTTGCTTTCCTTTAATGCAATCAACACACACATCCCCGTCACTAAAATCCATTTGAGGTAAAATTTCATTCTTAACTAACCTCATTAGCCTATCCTTGGAAATATGACTGAGACGTTGGTGCCACAAGAAAGCTGAGTCCTCATCTAGTGCACTATGCTTAACTCCCACATTATTTTCAACATTAAATAGTGATTCAGTAAATTTCAAATCAAGATTAAAATGATACAGGGAATCAACCAACATACCAGATCCATAAATAAAATTATCCTTAAATAATGAAAAGGTGTTGTGCCCAAACTTGATATGAAATCCTGAAACATCCAACCTACTAACTGAAACAAGATTTCTAGCACAATCAGGCACATAAAGACAATTTTCTAGATCTAAAGGACATCCAGTGTCTAAGATCAACCTATACGTCCCTATGCCTTCAATGCGTGCTTTCATCCTATTCCCCATAAATAGAAATTGTTCATTTCCCCTTATTGGTTGGATGGACTTAAATCCCTTCATAATGTGAGAAACATGAGTAGAAGCACTCGAATCTAACCACCAAGTGTTATTAGGAACTTCTATGAGATTTGATTCGAAACACACGAAACCTAAATGTGTATCAATCTTGCTTGATTTGATATCTAACATGAATTCCCTAATTAAATCGTTCGTGGACGATAAGAGATTTAACGAAGCTGCAACAATATACATGCTTACTATTAATGCTTTGAATTAACTAATACAGATTCATTCTTAGAAAACCTAAACATATATGCTTAAATTCACCTTTGGGTGATCCTTAAATATATACATAAGATGATGCCAAATAATATACCAACATAGACAATTGATTACACATGACTAAATGAGTGTTGTCTTTGGACATTAACCCAATTTAATCCAAGTATAAAAATTAGTCTCTTAAATTGCAAAAATTATACATGCATGATCCACCTTTTGGTGATCGTATAGCAATATAATCTTAATGCATTATTTTTTATATTATTTAGTATCTTAAAATTATAAAAAAATCGATTTTAACTTTCAGATTTATTTGTCTAATAACTCTCGGTCACACCACTTTGGTGACTAACAAGCATTATATTTATAGACAATAAATCAAATCGATTGTAGAAGTGTAATTACATAAAATTTAATTATTTACTAACCGTATGAGTCAGGCCACTTTGGTGACTAACAAACTCCATATATGTAAATAACTAAATTTAAATATCCATCTACTAAAATCATGATCAATTAATTCTCTCAATTAAAATTTCTAAGTTAACCATTAAATCACTTCGGTGATTAACAACTTATCATAACATTAGAAACTTAAATGAGTTAATATAGTCGTATATTAAATTTTACTCAATTGAATTGTTTAAATTGATTTAGTCCGATCGCTTTGGTAACTAACAAGCATTACATTTATGGGCATAAATCAAATAGATCATAAAAAATTTAATTATTTAACTCTCATATGAGTCAGACCACTTTAGTGATTAACAGACTCCTTATAGGTAAATAATTAAATTTACATGTTCACCAAACATAGATTAATTAATCAAAAGGATCATAAAAAATTAATTATTTGACTTTCACACGAGTCAGGCCACTTTGGTGACTAACAAACTCCTTATACGCAAATAATTAAACTCAAATGTTCATTAAACGTAGATTAATTATGATCAGTTTGATCTACTCAATCAAAATTTCTAAATAACCAAACTAGTTGTATCACTTTAGTGATTAACAACCTATCTTATCATTAGAAATTTAAATGAGTACATAAATTTGAACAAAATGATCTAATTAAACTAGCCAGACCACTTTGGTGACTAATAGGCTACCAAAATATTTAAACAATTAACTGAGTAAACAATAATCGGAGACAAAACTAAAATCACTTTAAATTTTATTAGTGTATAAATATCTCCATATAAAAATCTTCGACTTTTAACAGTTAAGCGGAAGCATTAAATCGACAAAATCAACAAAACTAAATTATGGTGTTTACCATAATATTTCGTCAACTAAATTACTGGAGTACTTCCGTATAATTAATTTAATAATAACTCCAACCGTCCGAAAATTAAAATAAAAGGTTAATTTTGTAGACGGAAATCTTAAATTGGTTTACTTAAAGTTAATTCTAGAATAAGTCCAAGACTGTAATTTCATACATAATACTTCGCACAAACCGGCCAACTAGGGTTCATATAGCAATACCCCATCGCCGCCGAACTAAATGCAGCAGAGCTGCGAATCAATCTCATGCGACTTGCAAATATGCACGAATCGAATTTTCTTCACAAATTAGAATTGAATTTGGCAGTGCAGATAATTGAAAAAGAATGTATGAATTGTTCAAATTCAATTTATTTCTTAAAAACTAAACAAGCACTATCGAATTCAAAGCTTAAATATTGAATCGGTGATCGAGAATGGATCTAGTTCATCGTTGTACACGTAAAAGCAGCGAAACAACAATTCGGGTAACTCGATTCGGTGTTTACCAAAAAATTATCGATTATACGTGTATTATGTATAATTTATGATGTCTCATCGGACTTGGCTCTGATACCAATTGATACATTAAATTCCAAGATCGGCATCATATAATTATACATAAACAAATACAGATAGATCATCTGAGATTTAGGAATACCTGGATCCATGATAGATGAATGAACTGGAATAAATCCCTTATCCTCTCTGGCCTCTTTCCTTATGAGATTCTTGACAGGTACGTAGAGATCTCTCACTAATATTGTGTTGTTATTCCATAGGAAATAAGCGTATATATAGAGGCAGAGGAGAGGGTTGGGGAACCCTAGTCCTAGAAAGACTTAAACATAGGTTCAGCCTATCATTAAATCAATTAAATGTCTAGGACTATACAAACTCTATTAATAACATATAACCCCAAATACATGACCAATATTAGAATATTAATAATTAAATAGATATTCTAACATTTGACCCTTGTCCATTTAGGTGTGCATCTGAGGTTAAAGGATCATTTCTGCAATATTCTGCTTTCAATGGATTGTTGGGCCTTGGACCGGGCAATGGGCCTGAGAATATGGATGTGCTCAGCATCCTTGCTTCTCAAGGGATTGTTGGCAAGGGTGTTTTCCCAAAACACGGGAAAAGTCAGCATGTAGTGCAAAAACACGGGAAAATTGTAGGGTTTCTAAGAAAACGAATTTCGGATGATGATGTTCCGAATAGATTTAGGGTTACAAGAGAGTAGGTTTAGCAGGCATTCGGAAAGCAACATTCCAAATTTATTAATTTATTTTATGTATTTTTTAAGTATTCGGAACATGGTTTTCCAAATAGAGGTTTTTTAATTTTTTGATGCACCATTCGGATGATGCACTTCCAAATCTAACTTTTTTAATTTTTATTTTATCTATAGAAATTAAATTTGATATCTATGAGTAACTATTTTAATTAGGGGTGGGAAAAACCGACCCTGGATTGCCCCGAATTATGATCCCGGGGCGGATTTTTTCTTTTTAACCGACCCAAATTTAAAAAAAAAACCCGGAACGAACCTAAAATTACGGGCTCATAGACGGACCTTAAAATATAACCCCGTCCGGACAAATAAAAATCCGAAACAACTAGCTATAATATAAAATTAATACTCCGTATAATATATGAATATAAATTTATAAATATTTCCTAATATATGATAATAGTCACGGTGCATAAAAAATGATTTAGCAACTTTTAGTAACTAAAAATATGTTCAATTTGTTTAGCGTAATGACCATTAAATATATTTACATCAACTCTAGTCACATTTATCTATATATTTTATTTCGTAATATTAATTTTCAGGAAACCTATATTATTTATTTACATGCATCTTAAATAAAATATTAAGATAATTATCTTCTTTGGATTTGAATTGTTGGTGATTTTGGAGACTTGTATTTGTGTTATTATTTTCGATTTGTATTTTTAATTAATTTTGTTTGAAAATAGGTGTTAAAGTATAAAAAAACAATGAGATATTTCAAGTTCGAGCTTTAAGTGATCCAACCCGAACCCGGACCGAACCCGGGCTACCAAAAATCCGACTCGGACCAAATATAATGGGCTTTGTTCCGGTCCCTAATTTTCATAACCCGAGACTTTCCGGGTAATTTCCGGGTTTAACAAAACCCCGAACCAGACTGGACCGTTCCCACCCCTAATTTTAATATGTACAATTTAAATCTGTATTATTGTAACCCGTACAATTTATTTGTTTTTGTAATATTTTTTTAACGCAACTCTTATAAAAAAAATTAAACGCATGTATCATTTTTAATTTTGTGTTGAATTTTGTTTTCAATGTTGCATTTTTAATTTTGTTTTTCTTCATTCGGAAATTACAATTAGCAATTGACCCCGCATTCCCAATATTCTTTTTTTTTTTCATTTGGAAAATAGCATTCCAAATTGACCCACCTCCCATTTCCTCCCTTTTCCATTCGGAATACCCCATTCCAAATTGACCCCACCACCTCGCCCTAACTCATTTGGAAAATGGCTTTCCGAATCCCGCTTTTTTGTATCCTAATTGGAACTCCCGTGTTTTTGCTCAATGTGTTAGAAACTCCCCTGGTTTAGGAATTGTCTCTGTTGGGGGCAATTCCTTTTCTCTCTGTTTCACACCCTAAGGGAAGGGGAGATTAATCTTTGGGGACAAAGGAACTAGCAATCAGATGCAAACGCCATTAGATCTAACCATAGAAAAGTACGTATTTTGCACATTTATGCTGCTTGTCTTTTGTTCATTAATTACTGATCAAGAGTATGGTACAATTTTAACGTATATGAATCTCATGAATTGCTATAGTTTATTACTCGTAGATTTTATAGAGGCATAATTAATTCTGTTGTTTAATCTTCTTATTCTTGTTGTGTAGTGAAGCCCATAATGTTTTAATTGAGGATATTGTTGTGAACCAGAATGTCCTTAAAGATGTTGGTCTCGGAGTATTTTTTGACTCTGGTACATCATTTACAGCCCTAAGTGATCCAGCCTACACTTTTATTGCAGAGAATGTGAGTCTCTTTTCCTTGAGACACCATTTGTATATAATACTTTGATTCCTAATTGCTTTACAAAATCATCACTTTTTAATCGATCCATATTAAAATTAAATCATCTCTATTGATAACTAATTCAATTTTAATAATTAAAATTTACAATATCAGAAATTGCATGTCATTAATATCTTTATAAAATTACAAAAGACAAATTTTAATCAAGAATTGGTATGGTAATTAAGTGAACAAAACAAGATTCTTTGACTAAAACAATTTGACTTTGCAAATTGCAACTCAATTTAATTTGGGACAGGTATTTGTATGGGACCGCAATTATCGATTCATCATCCGGGGCACAAGTCCATAACTGATAATGTTGATTCATTCTTAATTGTCAGCCCTGGTATTAAATGAAGAAAATTTATTAGTATCATAGTCTTATTTAAATATTTCATTGCACTCGATTCAATATATCTCTTCTCACAACTTTTTACAGTTCAATTCTCAAGTTAAGGAATCTCGCCGCAACCCACCATCTCGTCATTTTGAATACTGTTATGTCTTGAGGTGGTTTTATAGTACAGTAATATAACATTTATATATTTTTTACATGGTTCCATTACATTCAATTTTGTTCTAACGGAATTTTCTAAAAAAATATGCCTTTTGTAGCCAAAATCAAAGTTCTTATTGGACCCCTACGCTGAGTTTAATAATGAAAGGAGGACAAAAGTTTGATGTCCTTTTTCCAACATTGGAGTTATATTATCAGGTGATTTCTCAGCTCTATTTTCTTAGAATTCCTAAAGTGCTGTACGTATTGCTATCTTCTGATCTGTTTGAAATAATGTAACTCGATCTATTTTTTTAAACAACTTTTTCAGGGTAACGGCACTTCCTATTGTTTAGCTATTATGAAGCACGACAATATTAACATAATTGGACGTACGTGAGCGATACTATTTCTCTTCCACTCAACTATAGCTTTATTTTTTTACAATTATTGTATTTACGATATTAATTACGTGTTCTTTCTATTTTAGTTTACGTAATATATAGTAGTATTAACCTATCTCAATAGCATGTACTGATGCATGTACGCTAGTGCGTATATGCATGCATATATAAGCATCTCCAATAAATGACATTACTTGCTAATTATTTGTGCAGAGAATTTCATGACGGGCTACAATATAGTGTTTGATCGGGAAAAGCGTATTATGGGGTGGGAACAATCCAAATGTAGGTTTATTCATTATAACTTTCATGCACGCCCCCCCCCCCCCCCCACAGGGCCACACACACAAATTCGAAGTTGCTAATTAATTATGCGGAACTAAATGACGATAATATGATAACCTTAGCTAGCATATACTCCGTGTGTTTATTGCAGGTAAAAGAAATGAGTTCAATGTTACTACATCTTCTGGGGATGCACAAGCTTCACCACTCTCTATTCTAACCAGAGTCGTTGTTATGGGATTTTTGGTGAATTACTTTTTATTTAGTAATAAGTTGATGTAAATAGAAGTAAATAAATCATTAGTAAATTAAAGTACATAAATAAGGACTAGGGTTACGTACGATACTCATGTTTTATTCAAAAAGAATAATTAAACTAGGCAAAATTTATTCTTGTAAGAGTGAATAGACCATTTTTTGAGAATCAAATAAGGGAGTTAATTATATTTTATGAATTTTTTTATGTTTATAAAAAATGAAGAAAATAAAAGTCACAAATTTAATTTATGTTTAGGAATTATCCACACATATTTTATTCAACCCATCTTAAATTTCCTTCCATGCGTACACCACTTATATACGGAGTAGTTATTATTATTATTATGGATGTTTTCTTTTGGACTATTTTCAGTCCCAAGCCAGATCAGATCAGACTATCAAATTTCAGTCCAAAAGAAATTAAAACATCCGAGTTAGACTGCATGTCATTGTTTTGTACTCGTATATAATTAAGGGATTTTCTTCTTATGAAAAAGTAATTACTTCGTACGTACATGGGTCCACTTGACAAATTGTGTACTTTCCATTTATCTTACTCAAATATCCAACCAATATCCAACCATTTAGCGGTAATCTCCTTGTAATACTCCGGTCCGTGATTCAATAATTTTATGTCTACAATTGCTAAATCTACAACCCCAAACAAAAATTTAACACTTGTGTCTCAGAGCCGTAATTAGAACTTTGGAGCACATGGCTTTGTGAAAATGAATTTTACTTAGGATAGCTAACGATTGGTTCTCATGAGTCGGTCCCTTTCGAGAATCAGATCAAAGCCATTTTCATTAGCTGGATCCTAATAATACATGTCGACTGATCGAACATAGTAATAAAAATCCACATACCCCATACTCTCTCCGTTCGAATAAAATTGTCTGATTTCTACTTTTGGGTCGGTCTCAGTGATACTATTTCATATAAAATTTAGAAAATATTTGTGTGATTCTAAATAATGCATACTTTATTTGTATTTTAGAGATAACACGCATAAACTTAGTTTCTTAATAAGTGTCACTCATCCTTGTCTCAATGTTTATGGGACAAAGGTAATATTTAATACACAATAATCATTAATATGGTTGTTATCAATTTTTTATTGGTAAGTAACAAAAAATGTGATTCATAATCCAACAATATAAAGGGTGTGCTTGTCATTTAGCGGATAGCAGGTTATAATAGTGATTAAAAATTTGATCTGATCCTTTCATTTTACTAAATTAATTAAAGGTCTAGATTAGTTCTGATCTTACTTTTCATGACTTAGTGATCAATTTATATTTGAACCAATCCTTGAGACTGGTTTAGTAGATAAGGGGGGTTTAGTAGATAAGGATGGAGTGCATGCTAGTTTATTTCCATTTGCAAAGTTTTTGATTTTTTATATTGAGACTATTAAAAAATATAATGATCCGATTATAGTTGGGATAATTATAAACAAGTATCAATTTTCAATTAGAGTGACGACCGGTGACTGATCACAAGGGTTAATATTGATAAATGACCCCTAAATATGTTTGGGACCAACCACAAAAACGTTTTTTTATGTCCAGGTTTTGGATAGCAACCATTTGGGTTTACAACAACACTCAGCTACTCGATATTTGCCGAAGACAAATGTAAAGCAGTCATCTGGAATCATTCCATTAAAATTCTTTGCACATGGGGAGTAGCAATCTTCTTTTTTAGTACAATTTGAATTCTCACCCCCGCAGGGCAGATCTGCATTGGCGAACACATTTTCTTGAGCCTCCGATGCTGAGCCTTTCCATGAGCATATCATACATGCATCCACAATAATCAAAACATATCTTATTAAATAGCCAGCAATACCCAAACCAAAATCACTAGTGTTAATATAATTAATTAAAATCAAGAAAATGGTTGCATATATACTGATTAGTCATGACTTACGAACCCCTAAATTGAAGTAATTATGTAATTCGAAGGTTTAGATCATCACCTTGTTGTAATATGACTATAATGGCAATGCATAAAATAGCCATAAAAATATTGATGTTGGATCCAAAGCATCGATGAGAAGAACGGTTCATTCTTTTGAATTGTTTCACAATTTACCGATATGATTTGTTTTTTTTCTAGGATATAGTTCGTGCATTTGACAAGGAGATAGTGGGTTTATATACTATGTAATTTAAATGCCAAATATTGTTACCAAATTCCAATGATGAATCTAGACTACTCAAGATGTTTTCTTTTGGACTGAAATTTGCTGGTCTGGTCTGGTCTGGTAAACGTCTGGTCTCTATGTATTTTATAACTATCCAAGTCTGGTCTGGTCTGGTCTGGTATGTTTAAGTCTGGTCTGGTCTTTTTAAGTCTGGTCTGGTCGGGTCTGGGACTGAAAACAA